TTGACGAAACCCTCAAAACTAGGTCAGGACTAATCCTGGACTAGTTTTGAGGTAAACTGGTTCTTTTTTGAACTGAGGGAGGTTTAAAAAAAAAGAGGTTTAAAAAAGAACCAGCTTTAAGCCTCTTTTTGAGCCTAAAAGAAGCTATGCTAGAATTAGCCAAGTTTTTGCCAATCAAGAAACAAATTCAAAACTATGTCAGATTCAGTCCTAGCCTAGTTTTAAGGATGATATTAGTCTCTCTGTTAGTTTTACGATTCAAAAACCTCCAACTTAATTAGGTTTAGACTAACCATGAGTGGTTAATTACCAAAATATGCTCATTTAATTCCTCCGCCCAAGAGTTATTTCACCCTCTCTCCCCCAGGGTCTCCCTCTTTTCTGCAGAAAGAGTCATTGAGAAATTAGATTTGACGTTAATGGATCACTGGCGAAGAAGAGAGCTGAAATGGATTCGAATTTGGGGTTCTTATCAGCTTTAAGTTCAAAGTTTTGTAGGCTTTGCTTTGGTAGTAGGAGTGAGGTAGGGCTGTCCATCCGGGCCGGTCCGGCCCGGCCCGGCCCGGGAAACCGGGCCCGGGCCGGGCAAAACCCAAGCCCGGACCCGGGCCCGGGCCTGAGCAGGCCGGACACCGGGCCGGCCCGGTTTGATTTTTTAAAAAAAAAAAATTTTATTTTTTTAAAATTTTAACAAAACCATAAATCATAAATTATTATAAAAAATGTCATAAATTTAATTAATAACTTGAAATGAAATGACATAAATTACAAGTACAAAAAATGATAAAAATAACTTCTTTATTAATAATCGGTAAATCCTTTACAAGTATAAATTTATTTCGAAATTCGTCGCATCACAATAGATGAGTACATCCCAACTAGGTTGGCACCTACTCACCCATATCACTATCATTTGCAACTTTTTTGAAATAATTTAATTCAAATTTAAAGCTAAGAAATAAAAATTACAATTTTATGAATATTATCTGCACCTACTCACCCATATCACTATCATTTGCAACTTTTTTGAAATAATTTAATTCAAATTTAAAGCTAAGAAATAAAAATTACAATTTTATGAATATTATCTAATCATTATATCTATCTGCTAGTCCCAACTCTTCAAATTTATCTTCAATCATAGCAATCCGTTCGATGCCTTGTGTTCGCTTCTCGTATCTCCACCAATCCTGTAAGCACATCACCGCTTGTACAGTATACGGATCTAAGCATGTCCTGTGGTCGTCGATCAAACGTCCTGCTGTGCTGAAAGCGGATTCCGAGGCTACAGTCGAAACCTGCACTGATAGTAAGTCACGAACCATGGTGGAAAGTATAGGATATGAAACTGATCCATATACTTTCCACCATTGCAAAATATCTAAAGCATTTCCTTGACATTTAACTAAGGAAGCAGATAAATATTCATCTATTTCAGAAACCTCTAATCCTGATGAAGTTCCAGATCCACCAGTTAGTTCAGCTACCATTGCATACCTATCAAAACTTACACTTTTACCTCGACCTGTGCTCGAAGCTGAAGGTGCCGAAGCTGAAGACTGTTGTGTAGCTACACCATATCTAGCTGCATACTCATCATATAAGGTTTGAAAATAATTTCTAATAGCTAAATAATGAGTAGTAGCAGTAAGGGTGGATCCATCATCTAAGTCTATAATCTGTCCACCATACAATGATTGTAACAAACTTCGAAGGCCAATTTCCTTCAAGCATGGATCAATAAGAACACCAATACCAAAAATATGAGGAATAGGCCTAAAATACTTATTAAATTTACTCTCCATTTCAAAAATTATACTTCCAAAAATATCATCCATACGATATTTTGTAAAATTTTTTTGAATATTTAAAATTTGTAAAGCAGCTAAAGTAATAGTTGGATAATAACAACCAGATAATAACATAGTAGCATCATAAAAAACTTGTAACATCTCATTTAATTTACATATAACTGTCCATTCATCTTCAGTTATTCCATAAGCACTACCAGAGCTAGAACTAGAAGCATAAAAATTTATAAAATCATTTATAATTTCTTTATATTCTATTGCTACAGATAACATTGCATAGGTGGAATTCCACCTATGGTCAACATCTTTTGGAATTAGTCTAGGCTTATAATTTTTTCTTTTACAACATTGTTTCCATCTTTTAATTCTCATTTCAGAAGCATTATGCATATTAGTAACTGTTCTAACTTTTTCTATCATGGGTTTAATTTCAGAAAATGCACTTTGAACAATTAAATTTAAAATATGACAGATACATCTAACATGAAAAAGCTCACCATGACATGGCAATGACAAAGTTATTTTCAGAAAATCAACAGCTACATTATTATTACTTGCATTATCTAGTGAAAGAGTAAATATTCTTTGATCAATTTCTAGTTTCATAAGTTCTTCAACAATTAAATTTGCAACATTAATACCAGTGTGTGACTCTTCAATTGCAATAAAAGAAACAACTCTTTTAAACATTTTCCAACTTTCATCAATCCAGTGTGCTGTTATACATAAATAACCAGTTTGCACTCTAGATGACCAAATATCAGAAGTTAAAGAAAATTTGCAGTTTAAATTTTTAAAATAAGAAATTATTTTTCCCTGTTCCTCAACATAATATTTTAAAATATCACGTTGACAGGTTTGACGAGAAAATTTTGTAAATGCAGGATAAAAACCATCTCTAAATAAATCTTCAAATTCATCATCTTCTACTAATTTAAAAGGAAGGTTTTTAAGAACAATAAACCTGATTACGCATTTCCGGGCTCGGGCAGCGTCATAATTCCAACTGCCGAGGGTACCTGAAGAGGATGATTGGGAAAGCATAGACTGCCGGATATCACCTTGTAGATTTTGGCCTTTGTTGTGTTTTTCAATATGCCGTTTGAGATGGTTGGTGCCGCTCTTATGATGAGCTTTGAATATCTGGCCGCACAACGCACATTTCGCATTCTGAGAGATGATCCTACCGTGTTCATCCTTGGTGACGTCTATCTTCTCAAAAAAATTCCATACATCAGACCTCGGCCTTTTTGGAGCTCTTGGTGCCGTAGATTCGTCGCCACCAGATTCAGGATTAACACCGGTAGGATGAGGAGTTGTTGTAGGAGGACTCATCTCTGGATCGGTAGGAGTTGCATGTTGCTCTTCATAATCAGACCCAGAAGCCATTTGTTGGAAGTATTAGAAAATACAAAAGATTATAGGATAGTATATTAGTATGAGATAGTATAAGATTGTATAAGAGAGTAGTAGAGAGAGAAATAGATGAGTTTTGTTGTGAGAAAATGAATTGAAACCCCCCCTCTATTTATAGAAGCAGCCCCCTAGGTAAATGACCAAAAAACCCTCGAAAAATAGCCGTTTTTTGACCGTTTTAAGGGGCAAAACGGTCAAAAGGGACTAATCTCAAGATATAAAGATTTGGCGGAGGTGGACGACAACTTCTCAACAACTAATTGACCATCGGCAGCATTTTGGGTTGAAAAGATAGGATGGTTAGTAGAGTTCCAGGCTCCTGTGAAGAAGCTCGCCGCAGTATATAAGGGTGTCTACTTTTCTGACAGATTGCTCTGTCCGGTTCCGTAGCCCTCTTTATCTTTTCTTTTTGGTGGATTTGTTTTTGTGGTTTGATTTATTAGGTGTTCAATCACTTTGCTGTCTTTTCTTTTCTCTTTTTTCCTTTTTTCTCGTAGTTTGCTCTTTTGTGTGGGTTGAAACATGGGCGAATTGTTCTGATAGGTGACGACAAGGTCCACTCCTTATCGCTCAATGCGCCTCATATTTCTTTCCCTTCACTTTTATAATCTGTGTGTAATCATAACTGTTGGTTAACCTTTTATATATATATATATATATATATATATATTATGAACAGTGAACCTCTCCTTGTTTTTCAGTCAAAAAAAAAGATATAAAGATTTGGGGGACTAATATGAAAATACTGATGATGTAAGGGACTAACATCTAAAACAAACCCTCGCGAGAATCATAATTTTAACAAAAAAACATCATTGGATCAGACTGCAGAACTGCAAAAATCCCTACAATTGCAGATATATAGTAAATTATATTACTGGTACTAGAATACATCTAATACTGCAAATAGCAAGTCACAACTCATCCCTCAGTAGGCTCAATTCTACTTGCGCAACAAAAACAGACCGGTCACAATAAAGAAGCACCTCCTCATTCTCAACAGTAAAAAAGCTCAAGCAGAGAATGTGCAGAAAGGAAACATCAAGCAGATTTCTCTTGTCCCACAAAATTTTTCTCTCCAATTTTACAAGCAAAAAACGTAACAAGTACCATAATATACACTCAACTCTCTCCTTCGCTCTCCCCTTCGAATAATACAAGAATCAAAACTCAAAATAAATTAAAATTATCCGTTGCCACTAGAAGCATCAAAGCTTCCGTTCTCGCTGGCCCGTCTCTTCTCCCGCCAATTCGCTCCCCACATTTTCGCCTCGGCGATCGCTCTCTCCCTGTCGAAATCCTTGTTCACTGACGTCACCTCTCGTGGTGACTCGTCCTTCTCCAACCCATCGACCTCCAGCTTCCGACCGCTGCTCCCTCCACCGTCCTCACCTTTCTCAGTCGCTGAGCGCCCGCTTCGGGATCGGTGAATGGAAGCAGGCCCCATGGAGGGATCGTACGCTTGGGATGCGAGGTAGGAGAGCGCGGTCACGACGTCTGCAATGAGGGGGCGGGTTGTGGCATCCTCTTGAATGCACATTGATGCAACCGCGAGGGCTTGGTAGAGACCTCGCATTGGATATCGGCCTTGTAGTTTTGGGTCAGCGAGCTTTGCGAGCTTCCTTCGGTCATTGAACATTGGTCGTGCCTGCAAAAAGGCTTGAATTTTATTGACAAGAATAACTGATTTAAAAAGATGAGAATATTGAAGATAAACTATAAATTATGTAGGGTTGTATGCTCATTCGCAGGGGCAGATGATCACATTACAGCTCCAGTAAACATAAAACATAACTCCTCATATCTTCTTTAGCCCTGGCCCTTTTAGTTGAAAACAAATAGATACATTATTTTCAAATAAGCTAGCAAGTTGCAAGAAACATAAATCTAGTGTCTTTTGATGGTGAAATTGATAAGGACGCACATACTCGAATGGATAATTCTAACCTACCTACTCTTGCAAACTGGTTTGGGACTCAAAAGGGCTAAGTTGCCAAATTTGGTAATCTCTTTTAACTAGTTTGGTATTAAAAGTTTCTCTAGCGACATATGGATATTAAAAATCAACTCATTTGGCAATTTGGCAGTTTTCTTTGCCAATAGTGAAATTTTGGGGAAAATTTAACCACGGTCTTGCACGTGACTTTTTTTGCCGAGGTGGCACAGATATGTTGACGTGGCAAAAGTCATTGGTGCTCTTAAATTGGGTGAGATTCAAATTTTTGGGCAAAAATTGGGACTGGATCTCAATTTAGGGTTTGCGAAAGGGTTTGCGAAAGGGAGGAAGGCAAGGGAAAATTGATCAGGCGCAATTCACATCTCAGCAATTAGATCTTTGAAATTGCAGATGAAGCAAGAAAATCATGTCATCTTCAAACTCCCATTCAAGATTAGATTTTCACAAATTTCCCATATTTCAAAAAAGCCCAAATTGGTTTCACATAAGCCCTAATTTATCATTCAAATTGGTTTCACATAAGCCCTAATTTGTAGCAAAAACAAGGGTGATTGATGGCGCATGATAGCTCATCTCTGCTATCATGCACCACTTGATTTCGAGACGTTTTTGTTTAGATTTTTAGGGGTTTGATGACATCTGTTTCCTCCTCATCCCTTCCTCTGTCAGGATCTAGCTGTATTTAGAAGGTTTCTTACGAATTAGGGCATTGGGCCACGTCTCTCTTTCATCCTCAGCAATTTGAGGATTCTGCGTATTGTATTCAGTTTGATGAAGCGGATTGGGGTTTTGGGGTGGATGAATGGAGCTCTGCGCTCGTTGTTTATGCATTTGGATTTAAAGTTTCTTACACTGTAATTACGGGTTATATTAACAAGCATTGGTCGGATTTTAGTAAAATTGAAACCCTAGGCATGGATGCTCGGATATTTCTGTTTAAAATTGAATTACTTGAATCTCGTTGAACTGTTCTACAAAGGGGGCCTTGGACCTTTGATAACAAGCCATTTATTCTAATGCCATTGAGTCTTGAAGAACTCAAAGCTGCTTCTCTTCCCATTTGGGTGAAATTCCCTAACCTTAAATTGCATTTGTGGAATGAGAAAGCCCTTAGTAAAATTGCTAGCTCCCTTGGTAAGGGGCTGTTTGGAAAGAGGTTTTTTTTAGGGGGAAAGGGCTGGAAACTCTGTCAAAACCCTGCCAAAAGTGCAACTTTTGGCAGGCTTTCCACCCAAATCGCCTCTTTTAGAGGCGATTTGGGTGGAAAGCCTGTCAAAAGCTGTACTTTTGGCAGGCTTTCCCCCTACCCAAATCGCAAACAAACAGCCCCTAAACCTATATGCACTGTTGGTATTACGGCCAAGAAGGGTAGATTATCTTTTGCTAGGGTCTGGATTGAAGTTCAAGCTGATTTGAACTGCCAAAATTGTTGAAAATTGAAGGACCTGAAGGAGATGAATTCTCGCAAAAAGTTGACTATGAATGGGTACCTCTGAAATGAAATCTTTGTAAATATTTTGGGCATAAACAGGAGCACTGTGTCAAGAGGAATGCGAAGAAATTTTGGATGCCTGAACCTCAAACTGCTAGTGTCCCTCCTACAGTTAATTCACCTGTAGTTACTCCAACTGATCCCAGTAGTTCTGCAAATGGGGGTGTTGCTAATCAGGAGAATCTACCTCCTGCTAATGATCCTCGTAGTTCTACAAATGAAGGTGTTGTTAATCAGGAGAATATACCTTCTCATAATGAAAGCAGGCAGCAGGTTAGATCAAAAGATAAGAATAAAGAGATGATTACCCCTGCTCCTAGTGTATCTACTTCAAATGGCTTTCAAGCTCTACAAGTGCATGATGAGAGAGGCATTGATATTATTGTTGATTTGCCCCTAGACAACAATCAAATAAAAAGAAAAAGAGGAGGTAATATTTCAGATAAAGTGTTGAGTAGAAAAACCTGGATGAGGTCTATATTTTGCTGGAATATTAGGGGACTTAACCACCCTAATAAACAAAAACAGGCTAAGAATTCTATTAAAAGTAGTACCCTTTACTTATTATGTTTGGTAGAAACAAAAGTTAGTTGTTCTCTTGTAAATAGCATAGCTGGTAAATGTGCTCCTGGATGGGATTGTTGCCATAATTTCGAGTTGCATTCTCATGGGAGGATTTTGATTTTATGGGATCCAAGTCAGCTCATTCTTCAAGTTCTTAATAAACCTCTCAATTGATTCACTGTTGGATCAAAGTTAAAGATGATTCTTGTGGTTTCTTTGCATCTTTCCTTTATGGCTATAATTCTACGCAACAGCGGAAATTTCTGTAGGAGAGTATTAATAACACTTCCGCCACTATGTCTCGACATTGGGTGGTTCTTGGTGACTTCAACTGTATATTAAGGTGGAGAAGAGAGAATTCAGGGAAGACCAGTTCTTAGAGGAGAAATTGTTGAACTTCAGTTCGTTCTGAGGGAAGCTAGCCTCACAGACATGAAATATAGAGGGTTCTTCCACACACGGAGTAATCATTATATTTTTAGTTACTTGGATAGGGTGTTGTTCAATACTCATTGGTTGGATTGCTTCTCTAATACCAATACTGAATTTGTTGCTCCTGGGTGTCTGATCACTGCCCAGCTTTGATTTCTTTTCATGACTCTTCACATATTAAGCCTTCTTTCATATCCTTTGGCTTTTGGTGTTCTCATCCTGGTTTTGAAAGTGATGTGCTTCAAGAATGGAATAAATATGTCAGGGGAGGTTTCAAGTGGTGCAGACGCTTAAAACTGTCAAGGAAAATCTTAAAAGTTTAATAAGCTTCATATTGGTAGGCTTGCTTCCAGAATTCAACATGCCAGAACTAAGTTGCTAGCTACTCAAGCTCAAGTGTTTAATCATCCAACTGATGAACTTTTGAAAATTCAGGAAAATAAGGAGTTGAAGGAGCTTACACTTCTACTGAAGAATGAAGCTGATGAGGACAAGAATGGCAATATCTGATTAATTGATTTTTTTTCAAATTTGAATTTTGAATTGTAATTTAAATTTGGTAGTTTAGATTTGAATTTTGAATTAGGTTTTAATTTGGTAGTTGAGTGATTTGAGGGAATTTTATTTGTTTCCATTTTGTTTGCACGTTGTGTGCACGTAGTAGTTTTCTTTATAATAAGGTTGTATGAGACTTATGAAAATTTGAGTTAATTGACTTTTGGTGTGAAACCTAGGTCTTGGGTGTGAAATCCTAGACCAATATTCCTTTTCTCCTCTTTTCTCCCGGCCGCCAAACATTCCTGTCTTCACCACGTCAAAAAAAAAAAACCTTCAGCTTTCAATCGGCAAGAAGCCATGGCCGCTCCCAAATCAAGGGCAACATCGTCGACACCGATCAAGTTTTGATAGAAGAGAAAGGATGCGCCACCCTGCTCCTCGTCTTCAATCTCAAACCCATCTCTCTTCGGGCAGCCGTGCCACCGCCTTCGATCTCCTCGACTCCCTAGCTGCCGCCGACGCCCCTGTCTCCGAGCAGCCCCAACAACCGCCGCCTCCTCGCTGATCGTCGCTACTCAATAGTCGTCGCTCCTTCTTTCCCTCAAGTCGAAGAACAACGACAAAGTCCCTTGGATCTGTTTCTCTGGGATCAGATCTTCTTTACTTCATTTGGATCTGATTTAGTTTGGGTCAGACTGCCGAAATTCTTAATGGTGACGTGTGTGCTTGGGCTTCATTGTAGAAGCTAACGGGTCTTGAATTTCTTTCGGCATTTTGGATAGTAAACTCTCAACTCAGTAATTTTCTGTTAATCTCATAATTGTCAGTTAATTGCATGCATATTAAATCTCTAAACTATTATCATATATTCACTGCTTAATCTATTTTTGTGAGTTGAGAGAACTGAGCATGTGACTGTTAATTTTGATATTGATTTTAGAACTTGCGTAACGATAATAAATACTACAGTTAAATAGATCGAGATTGGAGTTGTTCATAACTATTGTTGCAAATCTTGTTAAAACCCATCTATCACATTAACTGTTTTATTTAATTTCCTACCGAATATTATGAATTTTGGCGAAACGTTGTATTATTCGAATTAAATCGCTGATTCTGATAGACCCCATGTTCTGTTTCGCATCATTTTTGGTATCAGAGCATGGTTCTAGGTTAGGATTTTTTTTGAGTCTTTATTAAAAAAAATATTTTGTTGTGCACCCATTCATATCATCTAGTTGTTAGTGCATGTCCACTCGTACAGGTCTACCCTATCGATTAGGAGAGTCAAGTGGATCAATTAGTGAGTCCAGTATGTCAGGCAGTGTAAATCCCGAATTCTTCGAAATTCTTAAGCAAATCGCCGGGTTAAACGGACAAATAAGTAACTTAACCCATGAGAGCAGAGCTACCCACGATACCCTGAATAACACCAACGAGAGAGTGCTATGTTAGAAGAAACGCGGGTTACAACTCCGTCACGAGGTCAAGGCTATGGATACCTACCAGGTCTTGGGTACATCGTTCACCGACCCCCACCTCAACCTGTGCCTAATCCACCAGCCTTTGATGGTAAGCTCAATCCAGAAACTTTCTTTGATTGGCTGAAGAGCATGGATCGCTACTTCGATTGGTACGTCCTGACGGAATCCCAGAAAGTCAAGTTTGTCACAATGAAGCTCACCGGACCCGCCTGTCAATATTG